AGAGATTTAAGAAGATTTTATTTTGAGAATACTTTTGAAAATGAATTTAAAAAATCAGAGGTCAAAATAGAAGTTTTATTTTTTTAATTAATAACTTTTTTCAACGGTATAGGGTGATTGGAAATTCGTTGTAAAGGAAAACATGCACCATGCGAGACTGCTCTACGCTCAGAAACGGCTGAACGGTTTTGATGAAATATGGCACTCGGATCTCTTATAACTCTGACTAACATTTGGAATATTTTTTAAGTTTATGAAATTCAATTTTGGGCATTTTAACGCCAAGCGGGTTCACTAGTTTTAATATAACGCCTATGCACGAGTATACATACATATATATGTATATAAATATGTATTTAACCTTCCCTATATTTTTTTGGTTTTTACATTCCTCATATATCTTTTACATTATGGGGCTTGCACAAGCATAAACTATTCAAGCTCTGTCGCATTGTTTACTAAATCATTATCGAACCAAAAACTCCAACAACATTTGCCTCAGAGCAGCTAAATTCCTAGCTATTGAGCCACTTAAGAACTTTTGCTTCCCAGTGCTGAGTGTTGAGTTCTTTGTTCACTTGCATAAATATTCAAATTGTTTAGACGCTATTAACCGCAACAAGGTCAGCTTTAACCCATCAACAATAGAATGCCTACTTAAGTTATAAATTTCAACGAAAACTTAGAATACTTTAAAACAGGTTCAGTTCGAACAAATGCTCTGCAATTAAGTGCCACGAATTAGCATAAATCGGAAGTTGGCTCAACACTTGTCACAAGCCTCTTTTGACACAATACATACATACATATATTCATATAACAAGCTTGCAGCGCATTTTAATCTATGCTAATGAGATTGGTGATTATAGATTTTGTCCACCAACAAATTGATTGGCCGCGAGATATAATGAGTGGTAGTGAGTGACGCATATGAATGCATGATTGTACATTAGGGTGGTCAATAAAAAAGTAAAGTATGAATTTTGATGCTATCCCACCCCAAGATTGTTCTAAATCTAAAAAATATATAACTCGGGGCTTTTTATATTTGGTTCATACACCAGTAACCGCGGTTGAAGAAGTCTGATGAGGAGCAGCTATAACTTCTACCTTAGTAAATTAGCTTCAAACTAAATAAAGTGGTTGAATATAGGTATATTGAAATCAAAAAATATTTAGAAGACGCTCAAAGCGCTTACAACTTTCCATGTATTTTACATGGCAAAAAAAAAATTCGTTGAAGTGGTATATAAATCTTAAAAATCAATATTTTTGAATCGGAAAAGTCGGTTTCTCTTCAGGAGACTTCCAACAATAATACCCAATTGTTTATTTAACCATTTTTTAATTGTTCTTTTTCCTTGACATGGAGAACGACATTAATTTTTTTTTGATTTCGAAATAAAAAAAACGGTAGTATATTTTTTTGACATACAAAAATTTTAGGGGGTGAGAGCAACAAAATTCGGACTTTACTTTTTTCACATGCATTTTTGAACCATCCTAATGTACATACACATCTCTGTAACAAGTAGGTATGACTGTTAGATTTTTAAGCAGTTATTTATGGCTTGATTGACATTTTATATATATGTTTACAAAAAATATTTGAAATCATTACTTTATCATCATTATGTAGGAATTTTAATGAAAAAAAAAGTTCTAACCATTTTTATGAGGTGGCGCCAATAATGTTGTCAGCCTTAAGCTGTCATTATGCGGCTTATTAAAATCTTGTTATTTTAATTTTTTTTACTTTAAAAAAGTTCAAATTTTAATAAGAATTTGTGTCAAATACTTCTTTCGTAACTACAAGCTGTGCGAATCAGAGTAACATTAAACATTATACGGCAGCAGAATTAATGATTTTGGAAGTTATAAAGAACAGCACTTGTAAATAGCTTAGCAGTTTAGACAATATTTCTATTTTTTAAATGTTAGTTAGGCTCTTTTACTTGAGAAATGTCATCGCCGCCAGGAATGCATAATTTTAAGGAAGCTTGCTTGTCGGAATAGATAAATTTATTTCTCGTCACAGCCACTAGACATGTATTACTTATAAGAGGGCTTCTTCATTAAGACGCACACCAGAAATTAGAGAAGAAGCTCAGCATCACTTTTAGCTAAATGTATTAACTGTTCTCGATACTAGTTTTAGTAACCGATTTTATTGTTAAAAAAATTAATAATTGGCGTGGTATTAGAAATCACGAGCTTTTAATATAAAATTGCTGTACAGATTTATTGATACATATAACTAATCATCTATTTATCGAAATCTGTATTCTTAATTTAACGGTTAGTTATCGCCATTGTTATCGATAAGTTATCGATATATATATGGTTAGGGATGAATCGATGCAAGTAAATCCAAGTACATACTCGATACTTTTTTTCAATTGACCAAGTATTTCTGTACTCGATACTTTTTACTGCGATCCAAGTAGGCATCGAAAAATAAGTACTCGTATCGGAAGCGCAAAACTTAATATGTTTCAGCATCTTCTTTGAAAAGCAGCCCATTGCGGAATGGCAAGATATGCGCACCACATTTCCGCAGCTATATAAGCAAGCCCATCTATACATAACGGTTGTTGGGTCATCTGTCTCTTGCGAGAGGCTTTTCACAAAATCTCGAAACCGGTTTTCAGGAAAACACTTGGAAAAGTTTTGGTTTTTGGGAAATATAACAAAAGAGGAGTTCCTTTCTTAGACTTATTTTATATGAAAAAACTTGAAATCAAATACTACACAAAAATAATTGTTGTCTTAAATTTTTGGATGAAGAAATATCAAAAGATAAATATCTAGTAAAAATGCATATTTTTTGGTAAAAAAACGCAATAACTTTGAAAAATATGCAAAATCGTAGTTCTATGTACAAGTACTCGATACCTTTCCGATAGTGATTAGGAATCGATACCTTGTTTGACACAAGTACAAGTACCGATTTGAGTAATACCTTGATGGTATCGATTTATACCTATTTATGGACATGGTTATCGTTATGATTTTATTCACAATTACAAATATGGGTTTTCATCAGAATTTATGTATGTATGTGTTGTCATTTTTTTTTGACGTACAACTGATATTATCTCTGATATATGTACATACGTATTTATCGGTTTCGGTTGGCAGCAATAGTTGTCGAATTATTATTTATCGATAACATTATTTATGTATTTAATAAGCTAAGCTATCGATGGAGTATTGTTATACAAATAATTAAAAAAAAATTGCACTAGTCTCATTTATAAAGTTGTTATCAATATTATCATGCATGTATTTATCGATTTCAATTGGTTGCTATAGTTGTCGATATATTTATTGAAACTCTTGTTTAAGCATTCACCGATATTTTCATCAATTTATTTAATGGTTTGATATCAATATTGCTACTGTTAAGTTATCGAGGGAAATATCGATTTTTTTCTCGATATCGGTTTGGGTCTATGGTTATCGATAAATTTATTAACGCAGTTATTTATACATGTATTGATATTTTCGTCAACATATTAATTGTTTTCATATCGGAAATGTTATCGTTAAATTATCAATAGATGTCGAAATTCACAATTTTAGTGAAAGCTCCTATGAATTACTTGCAATTTGAAGTGGATGGCATATACGCTAGACCCAATATGTTCCCTATGTATACATTGTCCAATGAAAAATTCTGCCAATCATTATTTACGAGTATTACAGACTGGCGCCATCAAAAATAGTAAAATAGAGTGTTGCGAAATTAATTGAATTTGTTTATTTTTGTTCTACAACAAAATTGCCAACTCATTTCAAACTAGTTTTAGCAAAATTTCGGAAAATTGTTTACCTTCTAATCGACTAGTTAGTAGTACAAGCAACAGGCAATTTTGAATGACGTGCTTACAATAGACAAGCAAATTCGGGCAAAGGAGTGAGTACATACATAAGTATATATATCTATGTATTTGTGTGTTTATATGTAGGTACTTGTAATTAAAATATTTTCATAATAGGCTGCCACAATAATTTGCACTTGCATACTTATATATGTACCTATGTAGATATGTATGTATGTATGTATAGCCAGTAGATTTGAAATTTTTTTTAGTGGGTCAAATTAACTTTGTACAAAATCCCACGCGATGCAGTAAGTAGTTAGTTGGATATGTATGTATGTATGTATGTGTTAACATGTTCAAAACGAACACAGTTAGAAATCTAGTACACACAAATACATATAGACATACATAAGTAAATATGCCTTCATGCAGTTACCATTGATTAGCGGAAGGCAGAGGGTGGAGTTGGAAATTCGCGTCCCTGACCTGCTGCAATTTTCGAATAAAAATTTTAATTGTTTCACTAAGCGTCAAATTCAGTTGCATGAGTGCTTGTTAAGAACAACTAACTGTAAACGAATTAAAATAATTGAAGTTATTAACTGGCCATTAAAATGTCAAAAAAAAAA